TTCCATCATTTCATCATGAGTTCTGAAATGAGAACTCTATGTTAAGGAGGATTTAGAGATTTACAAAGTCAAAAAGAAATCATAACTCCTACATTTTTAATCATCCATCCTTCTACTGTATGACTTACCCCATAATTCCCACAAGAAAATGAAGAAAGTTTTGAAGAACGAGTTATTCTCAATGTAAATCTCCAGCCAGCCTCTGTCAATCACGTTAGCCTTTTCCCCTGGTTAGCCTTTCTCCACCTCCTGCCTGAAACCTACACTACTATTTAATTGCTTTGTGACTTCACATTTTATTAAGAGGCAGAAAAACATAAAGAGCTAAAACAAGGAGATAGGTCCATTGCCATAAATTGCCCCTTTAAGCAATGAAACTTGCCTCTCTGGTGTAATAAGGTGAGCTCTGTGAAAAACCTGGCAAGTGCAATTCTGCATAACTTCAGAGCCCCCATCACTTACAGAGACCCTTACGATTTTCTGGACCACAGGGCTATAGATCAGAAGCTGGGCAGTCAACTGCATGCTTCCTAGTGCCAGCGTGAAGGGCATAGCCTGGTGAGTCACTGTGCTCTCCACCCTACCACCTTACTCCACCTCAAATTTACCTTCTATTCTCATGGGCAAAAAAAAAAAAAAAAAAAAAAGCAGAAGAGAATGATTAGAGAGAAAGTCATGAAAAATGTTTTGACTTGACAACACCCCATCTGCCATCCCTTTCCCCCACGAAATCAGATACTTGTCATAATCCAGTGAAAGTATTAAATGTATTAAATGTTTACTCTCATGAACTTGGATGAAATTTCTCCTCTCCTATTCTACAGGCTTTGCTCTTAAGTTCCCATTTTCTTCCTCTGTAGTGAGGTGGAATTCATTATCAGATTATACCACATTCCTGAATTTGCCTGAGTCCCTGCCCTCTGGAAGATTACCTCCAGTGATTGGCACAGACTACCTGGTCTCGGTATTTAAGCTCTGGGAAAATATCAATTAGTAACTTCTCTAAGATGCTGCCAGCCAGAAAACAAAGGCTTCAAGTGCTTTTAAAGCCTATTGAGGTGTATAAGAAAGTGGGGTTTACTATAGTTTATAAAACTGTATTGCATATTCGAAAGTAGCTAGGAGGTAAATCTTCAAAGCCCTCAATTTTTTTTCTAGCTATGTGAGATAACGGGTGTCAACTAGACTTATTTCGGTCATCATTTTGAAATTATGCAAACTACATTGTGTACATTCAAAACTAACATTATATGTAATCATTCCTAATAGAAAGTGAGTTTAGGAGACTTTTCAGAAAAAAGCACTCAAGTATATGAGTGTGTAAGTGTGCTGTGCAGCTCAGCTATATGTACAAGTATAAAAATGTCTGGAAGGATATACAATAAACTCAAAGTGGCCATATCAATAGCTGGGACCAGAGGTAGAATGCAAGAGTCAATTAGTTCTCTGAGTATATGTTTTATGGTTTGAATTTATGAAATGAGCATGTATTATTTTCATAATTTGTTAAAAGTTCTGTCATCGAACGTAACTTTAAAACTTAAAATATAGGCCCTCCTTTGTGGCACAGTGGGTTAAAGCACAGCACTAAGAAGCTAAAGCCACTTCAGCATCAGTTCGATTCCTGGAGGTGACCATATAGTGGGGCAGACTTCTCCTGACTCACCCACTGCCCCCCTCAGGAGTGTACTTTATTGATCTGCCTGTTCTCTCCCCACTCTGTCTCTGGTGAATCCTTCTCACCACCCCTGTACCTCTGGACTGTACCCCAGTTCTGTATGCATACATAAGTATTTTTTAAAAAAGATTTATTTATTTATGCATACAGAACTGGGGTACAGGCCAGAATTGCAGGGGCGGTGAGAGG